CTGTGGCAACATTGGGAAGTGGGTCAGCAACTTTCAGTGCCACATGATCATGTGCATCCCTATAAAAAGTGCACTGATGATGCAACTGCAACCGATCGTTGAAATGCTTTCCGCAACTACAGTCAACATTATTTTAGCGGCTCTGATGGCTGCAATAATCCTGCCATCGGCCATTATTGCCTCTCCCTTGGAAGATGACTCCGTGGACAGACCAAACACCGATTATGTGGCATTATTTAAAGCTTTTCTGGACATGGGAAATGCTCTTTTCGGAACTTGGACTCCCGAAGGAGCTATAGAGGAATTCATCAGAATTCGGGAAGGCCAAGGTGTTGGATTTTAGGAAATACCACCTGCACACACCCCACGACTTTCCCCACTTTGAGTTGCATAAGTTTTGCATGCATCAATAAACATTTAAACAAATCGACGGACAGCCAACGAAAAGGGGGTTCAAGTGAGGGGTTAGAGACAACAATTTAATTATGCACGCTTCAGTTTTGGCCATATCACCCATCATTACCACTCTGTCTGGTTTTGGCCATTAGGTATTCGGATTTTTGCTTAGGCTAATACCCTGCCAAAAGGGCTTATGTATACACTCTTTCCATTCTTCTTATTTATAAAAAATAAAAAATCCTTGACAACCAAACCTGATTTGATTTATTTAGTTGTAAAAGCACGAAAAAGAAAGCTAATGTTTTTAGTTATCAAAATTTACAGTAAGGGTCTAATTTCGCAGGAAGAATTATCCATTTGCTCTTAAGATTAAAATTTTTTACCATTTTATAGTTATGGAATAATATAATATTCATTAGGATCATTTTAACCAATGAATATATCCCGATAAGAAAATATAGAAAACTTCCCAAAAATTGACCTAGAGTATTTTCCAACTCGGTGCTTGAACCCCTTGAAACTTCTTCAATTTTTTATCTTTTCTAAGTCTTTTGACTGTGTGTTATCTCCAAACATGACACTTCATGTGTTTTCTTTCATTGGCAAATTAGTTATTTTTTGACAAATCCGCTGAAACAAAGACAAAAAGTAAATAAATAGTTAAATAAAGCCGAATAAAAGCAAACACGGGCTGCCTGCCTGCCATTCGGCATTGTCGGACATCGATCAATTTGACTAATCATATTTATTTATATTTCTACCGACGCACAATCCCAAGTCCCCCCAGTATTTATGCAAACTACAACTATACCTCCTACGAAAACGACGAGATCATTATGCAATAAACCGTAGACCATAGGACTCAAGTGCCAGCAATTGATTGAATCAGCTGAATCGGATGGATGATAAACGGCCTGCCGCTTTGAATGGGTACAATCAAAATAATCACCTGGCAAATTCTTTCAATTATTCATTTATTCGGCATAATTAATGAAGCCAACAATTTGTCTGCGGCTGGCTTCCAAGTGTTTCCTTTGTGCTCCGCTGGCAAGTGTTTTCTTTCCATAAATTATAGTAAGTAATCCAATTGTTGGACGATCGCCAGTCATTCATCTCGCTCCACTGTACAGATTCGGTTATATATTTTGTTGATATTCCACCTGCGGCTTAGCAGTTTCAACTTTAAAATCTTTTACTTCCTGCACGTGTCAAATATTCGTAAATTATCGAGTCTGAACATCATAATTTTTGGCCTGCCTTTAATTGTGGGTTATCGTGTCTGTCAAAAAAAAAAAGTTTGCCGGCTAAACTATTATTAAAACTGAATTTGCCAACCTAATGGCCAAGAACGTGATTTTCTTCGGCATGGCAGAGGAAACTTTTAATATCAAATAGTTTCATTTTCAATGCGTAGATCACTTGCCAAACACTGAAATAAATCTACGCTCAATGGGATATCTTTATTTTTATCAGATGGAAATACTCGTTTAACCTATAATTATGGTCTTTCAGGTTATAAATAATGGTTTTGTTCTATAAAAAATCACTTTAAAGATGATCGATAGGTTTATGTACAGAAATAACTTGATGTCACAATGAATAAAAATTAGTAATATTAACCAATATTCAGAAAGCCAAAAAAAAAAGAAATTATAAATTGTTGTTCATATCAAAAAAAAAACTTTTAGCTAAGCAGTAAAATGTTCAAAAGCCACAAAAAATGACATGCAGTTCAACTTTATATTTCAATCCAATCGAATTATGTGGAGCTATAAAATCTATAATATATATATGTGATTCTTGATGGGTAAGTTCGTAATATAAGAGGAAGAATAATACAAATTTCAAGGATATAAAAGATGCACTCAAGCTTTTCGATGTCAATCTTTTGGTAATATTCAAAGATACAAAATTCATAATATGTATCATATTAATATGTGTTATGGATAGGTAAGGTCGAGTGTTATTTCCGTCTATGAAAGAAAAATATATAAATATTTTAAATACATCTATAAATATATCAAACAGTCTGATATCACATGCAACATATTTTTAAATGAACCCATTGTTTTTATGTGCAGAAATTTCGCATTTGCCAGATGAAGTTATTCTCCAATCGAACGCTAATTATATGCAAATCCGAGCGCATTAAGCCCGCAGAGGAAGGCTTCAATCAAAAACCATCCATTCATTTATTCATCGAGACTTTAATTTGATTACCTGCGGGGAAGGGTAACATTCATACCCAAATTTAACCCATCCGAATCGCAATCGGTGACCACTGGGTAACTGGTGACCGGGGAGCAGTGGATGAGTGGATCGGTAATCATCATTAGTTGGCTTCAATCATTTGTTTTCCGCTCAAAACAGTGGGCTTAGCTGCATGCAAATAAGCCGAATGAAGTGGCCACATTCCCACAGAGTCGAAAAAAAAGGCGAAGACTGATGGGCGTCGCTTCTAAACGCATGTCAAACATCGCATTACTCAAAATGTTTTCAAAATTATTCAAATAAATCAAAATTAACACACGCACCACACTTTCTGAGATAATCGAATGCTGCTGCAGCTGTGAACAACCAAGTTTCACTTTCATTCGGAAAAAGTTCCCGAATTTATATAAATAAATTTTCGGCTTAAGCTTAAACCTTTTAAATGATGTAAGAAAATGCCTGATTGGAGGCAGGCATTTCTAAATCAAATTACTTGCATTGATTTGGTTAATTGCTCTGTGAAGCTCCATTTCCGTAGCCGCCAGAAAAATTCCAAGCCCCAACGAAAATCAAAATCAAAATCCGAATCCGAATCAAAATAATCAAACGCCTATTACATCACATCAACATAGTATATATGCAAATGGAGCTGAAGATGCCGGCAAACGGCGTCTGACAAACACATGTTAATTTCCACTCATCTCTGAGGTTTTGGGTTTTGGGTTTTGGGTATCTTGTTTCTATGTATTTCAGCGTCCCCATTTCTCTCAACCGCTCATATTATTGATTTCTTTTGGCAAGCCAAATTTCATAATCACACGCTACTACCGCGAAGCTCTGCTGCCGGATTATTATCAGCGCCATAAATTAATCAGAGGCGAGAGTGATCTTACACAGAGAAAAAAATAATTAAATAAATAATTATTACAAAAATACATATCTAGATATAGGATTTCAAATGTTATACGCTATTTTTAAAGTAAATACAAAATTATAATATGTAGTAAAATGCAGGATTAAATATTGTAGTATTTGAGCTATTGCAAAAAATATTAAACTCAAAATGAGAGGTTAAAAATACTTTTTCAGATATTAATATGGAAAAGTAAAAATATATATCTGGCTGTTAAAATCGATATTGCAATTTATTTAAAACCGCAATGGATTTGGATAATTTGAGTATGAATTACTTGGGCTTACAACGTAATGACTACAATTTTGTAACAGTGTATGCATATATGGATCCCAATTCCCCATAGATCGGGGATGGGAGCCCCAAAGAAATGCATATGCAAATGGAGGGGCAGAGAGTTGGTCTCGGAAACGCTTTGATTTTGCCGGAAAGTGGACTTTGGCGATCCAGGAGACAGAGAAGTCGGGGCAGGTGATGTGCAAGCGAAGCATTAATTTAATTTTATGTATTTATTATGCATTTGCCGGCCACACGTTTGTTTTTGTTTTTTTCTTTTTGTTTTAATCGCACGATTGCCACAAAAACTAGCCAAATGCCAGCGGAGAAAGTGGAGGAACTGCACCCGGGCCTATCCCATCCCACAACACTATATAAAATTCGATTTAATGGGACGGCATTCTTTTAAAACAATACTTAAATGTGGGTGAATCTATGAAAACTAATTGTCAAATACAGTTTCTGATCTTATTTTGCTTAAGATATGTTGCAAGTGCCTAGTTTTGAAAGCATTAGGAGTTGGCATTGGAAATAAATAATATAATGATAATGACAAAGGGTTAAGTTCAAGTACAATCGTTTAAAGCCGATAAAGAAGTATTAAACTTTATCAAAATACTGTTTTTTTGGGAGTTTTGACTTGAGCCCTCATTTTGCATAAACATTTGTCACCGATTAGTCAGCCGATAAAGAAGTATTAAACTTTATCAAAATACTGTTTTTTTGGGAGTTTTGACTTGAGCCCTCATTTTGCATAAACATTTGTCATCGATTAGTCAGCCAAAGCTGTCGGCACATCATAATCTCATTTGGGCATTAAAACCGTTTACAGTTTGTGATTTTCGATTGCGAAATTTTGTTTTTTTTTTTCTTGTCTTTTGCCAAATTAACAATCGTTTATGTATTTATAAATTTATGGCCGCCTTTTACCCTTTATTGCCAGCATTTTGATTTTGCATTCAGGGAATATAATTTTCCCTAATTTTTATGATATTTTATGTAACGCAGCTATTGGGGTTTTCTGATGGTATTACATATTATATTATACCACCTGTCACAAATATTTTCAACGTAGGGCAGAAAAGGCGGGACCATTAATTAATTTATGGTCGCATAAATCATAGTTTTTAATGGCGATGTGTTTGGGTGTGGATATATATCTGCTGTAAAGCGTCGATTCCCAAACTAATCAAACTCTCACTTCCAACTTTATTTCACTGTTTATTCGTTTAATTACATTTTACATAGTTTCATTGAGGGGTCTTTATGGTTTTTATGATATAACATGCTTATTTGTCACATTACAGATAGACAAAACTTAGTGAGTGTTTGTGGGGGCAGAGGCTTAAGACTAATAAATGTGTTCTCTCATCTTGACTCGTATGCCTTTATTTGGTGTTAATGAACAGATCTTTACGCTTTGTTGTTACTGCGATACATCTCACATTAAGATTAATAATTTCAATCAATTTTGTGAAGATTTTGCCCCGCAATTAATTAAATGATTACGATTTCTGGGTCTGCAAAATCTTCTGACAAAATGAACAATTTGTGTGGCGCAAACAATGTGCACGATATATCTGTGGTGAGTCTATTAATTGTGGGAGTTGCTGGTTGCTGATAGCTGATAGCTGCCCTTATCTATACATTTAATACTGGGTTTGACTTCAATTTCAACGGTTACAGTTCGCTGGGTCTTAAGCTTAGGTTAGGATCGCGAATCGCAAATCGCAAAACGCGAGGCAATCATGCACATTGTGGCCGACGCGATTGCTTAGACAAAATACATTTTACATAACGCAACTTAACGCTTAATCAACTGGTGCTGTTTAAGGGCGAACGCATTTAAAACTATTGTACGCGAAATTTTGAATGGTGTGTGTGTGTGTGTATACTGGACTGGAGTTGGGATAACATAACTAACATAAAACGGATTCAAAAACAAGCAAAAAATATGGGGACAAAACATGACAGATGACAGATTAAACAACACGATTCATTATTCATAAGGATGTTCAGCTTTTAGCTTGCACACACTGGCCAAAAGCTGAACATTTACAAAAATGGCTTATTAAACATTCATAATTATAATTATAACGATTATGTAAATTGTATTTTATAGTGTATGTGATGCCATGTCCTGTCAATCTCCAAAATCCAGCAAACTTTGCGTTGAAATGTTTGCTGAAAGTTCGGCAAATCGACCATTCATGGGTATATATACGACTTTTCGACACTCGCCGATGCTTATGCTTAACACTTAAATATAGTATACGTATAATAGATTCATTATTCGACGAGTTTCATCAAGCATGTGACCACAAGCGGTTAATGGTTGTCTTGCTTTGAAAAATAAATCAAAAATTTGTTTCCCTTTCTTTTTTTGTCCTCTGACGACGGCCCGGTTTATCCTTGAATTGGATATCCTCCAAATTTTGTCCTGCACCGAGGTGCTCAGAAATTTTGTATTTATTTTTGAAAGCGTTGGCCGCATGCAGCTAAGAGGTATCAATAGTCCTTTGTTCATCAATTCAATTCAAGTGATTATTGAGCTTTTTCACTTTCTGCTTAATCTTAAGTTTAGATACTGCAAACATTTGCATCTGTTCATTCATGTTCTTTTTGTTGGGGTTTCTCATTAAGTCTAGTTATTGTTCGATTCTCAATTTGGATTAATAACATTGTTGCGGCTCTTTGTTCAAGTGTTCGCTTCTGTTCAGTTTCTGTTCCAATCAGTTCGATTCGTTAATCAATTCTCAACATATAAATAAAATAATAACACCATTTTGCACAACTTGCACATAAATAAATAAATAGGTATTAAACTAATAATTTGCTATTTCAAAAAGTACTGTTTCTTGCATTGCTCATCTCTTTTACTTTTTACTTTTTACTTTTCACTTTTTTTCTTCTTTTTTTGAATTTGCACACAGCTTGGCTTTTGGATTTAGGTTTAGGTTTGCTTTGTGGACGGGTATTTTAATTGTTTTTTGCTTTCATCTTGCATATGTGCAACAACAAAAATTGCAGTTAATAGGAGGGTTTGAAACAAAAAAAATGTCAACTCTTTTTTTATGCTTATTTCATGGCATTGTTGAGGCCCAGTTTGCTGAGTATTTTCAATGCATTACTGGCCGCATCATTCTGCGACTCCTCGGAGCTTTTGCCAACACCATGGCAGATCTGTGGCGGATTCGTGGAGAGCGTCACAATCGTGAGGAACTCGTTGTGATTGCCCTTGGGATAGTCCGAGAAGTTGACCTGTAAAATACATTTGATTAGGAAACATGGCCATATTGGTTTAGCTACGGTTTAGCCTACCTCAAAGTCCAACAATTTACTCAGATACAGCAGCTGCTCTTTCATATGCACACCAACACTTGGTGTGCTGTTGCTGCTGCTTTCTGTATTGCTGCTGCTGCTGTTGCTATTGGCGGTGTTGCTGCTGTTGCTGCTGCTGCTGTTTTCTGTGTTGCCACTGTTGCAGGCACCTGCATTGCTGCTGTTGCTGCTCACACCGCTCGTATTGCTGCCGGTTGAGGTATTCAGAGCACTCTCGCTGGCCACCTCTGTGGCCTGGGAATCGCTGCTGCTACTGTTGCTACTGTTGGTATCGCCAGAGTTCTCGTTGGCGCTGCTCTTCTCCTCAGCTGCAACAACCACCTCCTTGTTGGCCTCCTCCTCTTTGGATTCCACATTGGCCTTGGCAACCACAACAACTGGATCCCTCTTTTTCGCAGCTATAAAGGTTACAAATCTGTTAGAAAATGTACTGTTCTACGATAAAAGTGTTTCAAACTCACGTTTCTTGTTCTGGCGCAGTATCAAAATGCCTGGCATGGGACCCACTGGTGTGGAGACCATGGGCACTTCACCCTCGGCAGTTGCAGTGGCCTCCACGACAGGAGCCGTGACCACTGACACCGTGGCTGTGGTGCTGCCCTCTTTGGGGGATTGGGTTTCGTTGCTGGGGGTGAACTCCACCGCCTCCAGAAGTTCAAAAAGCGCTGGAAAAACCAGTAAAGTTAATGGGATTTCCAGGAATTAACTACTATTAACTTACCCTGCGCCGCATTTCGCTTGGCCAGCTTCTTGCTGTTGCCTGTTCCTCGGGCTGTGCTTCCACTGGCGGAGACCTCCATGACGAACTCCCGCCGCCGAGCCGTTTCATTGCCATTCTTGGCTATCAACTCGAAGATGGGCTCCTTCTCCTTGCGCGTCTGCTGCAGTTGAATCAACTTGGTGATGGGATTGTCCGCATCGTCCAAATCCACCAGCTTGTCCTTTGGCGGATTGAGTCGCTTGCGTCTCTCTGGCTTCACACCTTCGGCGCCCGGGACTGCTGATCCTTCGCGTGCTGCTGCTGCTGCCGCTGCAGCTCCATTCTTGCCAGGAGTCTTCACCTTAATCCTTTTTAGGGGCGTCTGTTTGGTGGGCGTGAGGGGCGGTAACTTGTGCAATTCGGCGAGCATCTTTTCAGCGGCCCGCTTCTTGGATACCTTCTTGCCATTGCCCTCACCCTCGGTGACAATGGAGCCCACGATGCAGGCCGTGATGAAGTTCTTCATGTGCGCCGGCCCCTCCTCGCGTAGAACCTTGAAGTGCACGGTCATGTTGCGCTTGATGCCGATCTCGTGCACCTGCGAGATCGGTGACTTCTTGTCGCCCTCGTCCATCGAATCCTCGAGAGCCTCCTCCGATGCGGACATGGCCTGTGTCTTGAGCACCTGCAATGCCCTGGCCGCCGCATCATGCTTGGCCTGCTGCAGAGTCCTGCCGATGCCCACGAACTTCTGTTTGCCCACGAACAGGGTGATCTTGCTGGGCGGCGTGGGAATAGCGGGAAACGGGCCATTGGGTCCGTGCAGCACATGCGCGCCGAGCGGTGGCGGCAGGGCAAAGCGCGATGGGAACTTGGGCGGAAACGGTCGCTGCCCGGGACCATGAAAGAAGTGCGGATGCATCGGTGGCGACGGAATGGGCACGAATCCATTGCCAAGTCTTTGTCGTAGGGCGTAAGCGGGTGGCGGCGGTTGCTGGGGCATTCCCGGCGGTCCCGGTGCTGCCAGCAAATGGGCTCCACCAAACTCCGGCGGCACACCCATGGGATCCGCGGGCGGAATCTGCGTAGGATCCAGCAGGTAGAAAGTGCGTTGGCCCAACTTCATGGCCAGGGCATTCAACTCCACCGTCGGCGTGATGTGGGTGCGCATGGGTCCGCCTTCTTCGCTGCGCCGAATCTTCGGCGGTGGATGCTTGTACGTGGTGTCCTCGATGGCCTTGCTGGCGGCCAAGTGTTGCGCCTTCTTGATCTTGAAACCATCCGCCGAATACTCCTCATCGCCCAGCATGAGGGTCACCGTGAAGGTCTTGCAGTGGGCAGGTCCTCGTTCGCCGGTCAATCGATACTGATGCGTAATCTTGTTGTACCTGGCCAGCTCGTTGACCAGGCACATGGGGGTCTTGTCCTTGCCCCCGCGTCCTGAACTGCTAGTGTCCTCGTTGGGCAGTGTGCCCGAGGCATCCACATGTTCCGTGCTGCTGCAGTCGTCCGCTGGAGCAGCTGGCTCCTCTGAAGACTCTTGTTCCTGGTTTGTTTCCTCTGGCTCGCTGACTTTGACAATATTGTTGGTGGTGTTGCTGTTGCTGTTGCTATTGCTGTTGCTGTTGGTGCTATTATTATTGGTGGTGGTCACTGGCGCCTCTGGGGGGAGCACTTCCTGCACCATTGCTGGAACCACCACCTTCTGATTCCTATACGTATTCTGCAGGATTGCCTTGGGCGCATAGTTGCTGCTGCCACTGCCGCTGTTGCTGTTGCTGTTTGCATTCCCGGCGTATTGGTTATATTTCGAGGGCTTTGCAGCCTGGCTCATGTAGTAGTGGGGAGGCGGTGGAGCGGCATAGCTGCCCAGATGGGCGGCCATGTGGTGCGGCGGATGCGGTGGCAGCTGGTTGTAGGCCAGGGCAGCCGGATTGTGATTGTAGGCCTGCGGAGGCGGCGGTCCAGGTGGCTGGTTGCCCAGCAGGCCGTTGCTGCTGCTCAAGTGCTGGTGCTGCTGGCGGATTTTCTGCATCTGGTTGCTGCTGTTGCTGGCGAGGTTGTTGCTGGCGCTGCTGCCGCTGCTGTTGCTGTTGATGTTGATGTTGCCGTGATGATAGGCAGCCCCAGCCGCAGCTGGCGTCTGCTGCTGCTGCTGCTGCTGCTGCTGCTGCTGAGCGTGGAGATGCTGCTGCTGATGATGATTCAGACTGCAAAAAAAGCGGAGCAGAGAGCAAGCAAATTGGTTAATCGATGGGCCACAAGTTATAAGCTCCTGGGGCGAATGCGCTGGCTTCTGCGGTTAGATCAGCAAACAATGCACGCCAAGAGGATTATAGAGGCCAATCGAGACAAAAGTACTCGGCCAAAAAAACAAAAACACCAATGAGAAGAGGTCCTAGAAGCTCCTTTCTGTGTCGTGTTGTTCCGTGTTGCTGCTGTTGTTGTTGTTGTTGTTGTGCCTCTGCGGAATCGCAGACAACAGCGGCCAAGCTGAACAATGGGCAAAACCCCTAACAAAGCACAAAAGCCGCATTCTCTTACGCATCGTGTCATTTTTCGCCAACTGTCAGTTTCAATTGAGACGCACCTACTGCGACACCCAGCTCCTTTTCCTGCTCCATACCCTTCCTTTCGCCATCGGGGGTAGGACTCAAACACTCAAACACACTCGCATTTACCTACTCATACCTTGTGTATTTCACAAGACGAAGAAATATTTTCGGCAATTTATAATCGCTAAATCAGTGCGGGGAACAAGCCTTCAAATTAACATTGATATGGGCAATTTGTGATTAGGATCAGTTGATATGCGATCAGAATGTCCTAGGTAAGAAGGGAAAGCTAATTAATTGCATCTTGTTTGATTAGATGGGTACTGTTCTGCGGATAACATTATTTTTGAAGATATTAATATCCTTAGGTGTCTAGATAAAGAGATTTCATTGCTGATTTCAAAGACATTAATTTATAATTAAATATCATTCACAGTATTTGATTTCAAAAATTGTTCAATCAGTGAGCAACTATCCAGTATTATTCAGTATTCTATTGTTAAATAGATTTAATTCCTGGTCTGACAGAGATTAATAAATGATTTCATACCATTTACTAAGTAATAAGACAGTAGTATCTTGCGTTTGATTTCAAAAACTAGAACTCTTAGCAATAACTTTCCACCTTTCACTTGCTAATACTAATGATAAAAGTAGACTTGATTATTACATTTCATTCACTGGCTTATACATTATTATCCCATATTGTATTTATTTAGCTAAAATCTCCCTGCATATTTCACCTCTCACTTGGCACTGATGAAAGAGTTTCATGATCGTTGCGAAATCGTACGTTAAAGTACGTTAAAGTACGTTAGAGTCTGCGATCGCCAGCGAACTTCAAGTTTACTCCTATATCAAACCGTCGGTAAATTCATGTGCGACCCGATCCGAGCGGCAGGCAAAACGCAACTGAGGGCGGAACGGGATGAGATGAGAGGTTCACTGCTGAGAGTTTACGAAAACATATGATCGCAGACGAGAAACCGAACAGCCTGAACTCCGAAAAGGACGAGCCGAAAGATCCTCGCAAGCAAACGTCAAGGATAATTGCAGCGCAGTCGGCAGAGCAGCAAACGAGTTATCATCAAGCGGAAGTCATGCTGAGCGCGAAAGAACAAAGAGCCACTGAAATTATAATTTATGAGTTGAGAAAATGGGATGATGAGTCTCACACCGATTGTCAGTGACAGGAATTAACATAATTGCCGCTACGCATAAAGCACACAGACAAGCTGGCGAGCCAAGGCTTCTCTGGCTTCTATTTTCGAGATCCAAAAGAGGCTGGATGCTGCCCCTGTTCCTTTCTTGTGATCCACGGAGTATCCTCTTAGTGAGATCCAACTAAGCGAGGGAAATGTTGTCCTTTTTTAAAGGTAAGTAACTCATAGCTTGCCTATTGAATCAATTCCTATTCATTTCTTATAAACAAATATTGAGTTAAGGAAATAAATTGGCCGAGACAGGAATATATTTAAAAAGTTCAGTTTAATCTTTACCCCCTCAAAAGACAAGACATCCCTTTATGTTAAGAAGATCACATACTAAACAACCAACCCTTTCTTAAAAATAAATATATATCCTTCCTTACTTGCAACTAAGTTTGGCCTATATTTACTTACATTTTAAAAGGGGTAGCTAAACAAAAAAATGTCCAAAATCAAAAGCAAATTCAGAACAAGTGCGTGCCCTTACTTATGTGTTTATTCCAAACTATTCAAATACTCTCTATATACCACAATATACAGAAACCAGGGGATGTTTATGTTCCCTTTAACAAAATTAGACATCTTAGCACCTATTAAAGCCTTATCTTCTACCTGAGCTCCATCAGATCCAATATACATATATATATATATGACCTAAGACGTAACAAACATGGTGAAACATAAAAGTAGCTACCTGACATTTAAATGACAAATAAGCTTTATGTTTTGAGTAATTTCAGAGAGTAATGAAGCTACATTTGCTGCCTGTTCCAAAACATCCAAGTTCCTTCAATAAATAAAATCAAGGAGGGGTGTCCTCCGAGCTCCAAAAGTTCGATATGGCTATATTCCCTGAGTCCAGTCAATCGGGGTTCTAAGTTTTATGTTCTGAGTAAGCTTCGATAGATCCAATTGGCTCTTAAAGCAAATGCATTACTTCCTGATATTTCAGTTAATGGTGGAAGTAGCTCCCTCTTCTCCCCGATCCCAGCTTTCCAACTGGATATCTTATTTCCACCTCATTTTCCTTACCGTGCATGCAAATGGTCGCGATGTGGGGGCTGCGGGGGCGGCTGCTGCTGCTGGAGACTCTGGGCCAGGTGCTGCTCCATGCCCGGATGTAGTTGCATGTGGCCGTGGCTGTGGGTGTGGCTGTGATGGTGGGCAGCCCGGATGTGGGGCGCTGGCCGGGCGGCATGAACATTGTGCTGCATCTTGTTGGAGCCACGTAACCTTTGTTGCAGCTGCAATAGGAGAGGATAGGAGATTCGAGGATGAGACTCAATGAGATGAGACATAAACATCAATGTTTTCCCAATCCGCACAAAGGGCCTAGAGGTGTCTCTTTGTGCGGCAATTGTGCGCGCAAACAAGTTGCAACTGTGCAGAATGCAAATGTGCCAAATGCAAAATGCAAAATCCAAAGGGGGAATGCAACTGAAGCGACGACAACGGCCTAAATCAAATTGTGACAGGCGGCGGGGCAGAAGGGTACGGGTTTAGATTCACTTATGTACTTGGTTCGATGCCAAGCAACCACTCCTTGTTGCACTTTTCTGGTTCTTCTTACGCATTGCGGGTTGTTTTATGTTTTATGTTGTGTGTTTTTTAGTGAAATCGGATAAAATGCAGCTGCAGTGCGCAGAATTCAGGTTCCGGGGATTGGATTGCATTGCATTGCATTGCAATGCAGGCATTTGCAGGGGGTTCAAGGACCCAGATCCGCGCATTCCGTAACCCCATTCCCTTCGAGAATCGAGCAGTGGCAATGGCATAACGATCTCACCTTCTTTCGTTCCCAAAAATGATTTTCTTCGTTCGCAGAAGTCACGGCAAAATCACATCAACTTAGTGCAAAAACTCCGATGCAACGGATACATCCGTTTAGGGCATTTGCTGGCGGTGGGCCTTGGTACGGCGTGCGCAACTTAAAACAACACTTTAGAACTACTTTAACACTTAAATTAAATTGATAAACCTATTTTGCACAGTGGCTGCGGATGAAACTCGAAAAATAATGGCTTTGTGGGCGAGCGGGAAGCGGGGAGGGTTGCGTTCGACGGTGTTGGAAAGCGCGCGCGCAGAACTGCCAGGGCTGGAATTCAAAGGTTTTGGTATTTTTTTCATTTTAGTCTTATCGAGAGCGATAACTTCATTTTAAAAATCATTGTGAATTTATTTAGCCCTAAATTTAATGAATTTAAACTACATATTTTAGATATTTTATGTACTACTCAATTGATGAGTTCTTTGCTAAAATATATTCTATCTGCTGATTTTTCCCATCTCTGGAAAAGCAAAATATTTATACGAGTCTTGTTAGTAAAAATAAAAGCTTAATTTTTAATGAAAGTTTTGTTTAATATCAATATTATTTAATTCCACAACGATGAAGTCGACAATGTGCCGTGCTATCCGAACCCATGAACAATATTTTTGAATGGATGGAGACGCAGGAGAAATATTTGTATCTATCTTGTTGTAAGTAATTAATTTAATTTATAGTGAAGAGAATAATTTCAATTTAATGCAATTTCAGGATGATATTTTACAAAATTACGGCGACGCAGTGATATGAATGTTTTGATTGCATGGCAATTATAAATTGTGATGTTAAAAATGCATTGGAGGTTCAGCGGATAATCAAGAATGTAATATCAGCGATGAATGACCACATATGTAAGAGTACTAATTGCCGTAAAACTTTTATACGAAAACAGAATCTTGAAGGACACTTGCAATCGTTCATGTGTTCCCACTGCCCAAAGGCATTTAATCAGAGTTCAAATCTAATTCTAATGCACTAATTTCAATTGTATATGTTGGGGCTGTTGTGTAAACGGTAATGAAACGACTAGTCTAAAAAAGGCTTTTAGATCTATTCCATTAGACTTTTTAAATTCGATAACAAATATAAGAGCGACCAGTTGCCGTTTCTTAGCAGTATTTATTCTAGTATTTTATAGTGGTATTTTTAGGCGCCCATGCCGGTGGTCTCATTGCGGAATTGCATGAACAACAAAAGCTTGTTTTACATTTTACAGAATTAACGCACTTTAACTTTGCTGTAATGGATATATTTAGTTGGCCTGATTCCTTACATGTCTTGAGAAATTCCCACGAAACCCTCCAATCCATAGAAGCAAGTTGACGGTGACGCCACTTCCATTGTTTTGATGATGTTTTGAAAGTGACTCATCCGCCGGCTGTTTTCACTTTTCTTGTGGCCCCGAACCGAATTTAAGGCATTCCGGTGTAGACAGCGGGCCAGAAAGCAAGTATACGCAATTACGCATCACTCCCACACCCATACAGTCTCGATATGTTCGATTTCAATTTGGAATTTGCCCGTGGAGGCGCTCGTTTCACCACTGAACTGTTCCAACTCTTGGCCACTGGTGGTCTGAAGGAGAACGTGGTCTTTTCGCCCTTCTCCATTCAAACGTGCATCGCCTTGGCCTTTGCCGGATCGCAGGGAGAAACCGCCGATGAGATCGCCAAGGTGCTGCATTTTGTGTCCAACTTTCCGCCCGAGGTGGCCCAGACCTTCCAGTTCGTCCTGGAGAAGTATCGGAATAGCAACTTGCTGCGAGTGGCCAACAAACTGTATGTGCAGGAGGGCAAGCAGCTGAAGCCGGCCTACCAGGCGGCCATCAAGGAGCAGTATCACTCGGAGGCGGAGTCCATTAACTTTGCACTCAGCGATGCCGCCGCCCAGGCCATCAATGCCTGGGTAAATGCCAAGACGCAGGGCAAGATCACCGAGCTGGTCAGCGCCGATTCCTTCTCGGACCTCACCCGGCTGGTCCTGCTCAATGCCCTCCACTTCAAGGGCAGCTGGGCGCACAAGTTCGACGAGAAGCGCACCGAGGAGGATGACTTCTGGGTGGGCGAGGAGGAGAAGGTCAAGATTAGCTACATGAACCAGAAGGCCAAGTTTGGCTACGGCTACTTTGAGGATCTGGGCTGCACTGCCCTGGAAATGCCCTACCAGGATTCGGATTTGTCCATGCTTGTGCTGTTGCCGCAGGAGCTGACTGGTCTGTACCCCTTGGCCGAGAAGCTCAAGACTGTGAATCTTGTCGATCTGGCCGACAAGATGACCGTGGAGGAGGTCCATGTCAAGTTCCCCAAGTTCAAGGTGGAATACTCACTGGATTTGGCCGAAAAACTGAAGCAGGTAAGCCAGCTAATGACTATTGATAACGAAAATAGGTTCCGTAAACATTTCCGTTATATAAAAAGCTAACAAATAATCATATACAGTGCGGTAAAAATAATAGTAGTTTTTTAGCATATGGAAAGCAGAAATTTAATATTTAATACTAAAATATAAATGGGGCAAATATAAAAATACACATTAACCATAGTTAAAGATATTTACACAAAAGATTGATAAAAAAAATTTAAAAAATAGATGAATACAATACAAGGTGTAAAATAAATAAGGACTAGTGGCTATTTTTTTAAGTTGTTATAAAATTAGTTCAGAAAACTGGGAAATTATTTACAGCATTATGATAACTTAAATCTTAAGTTCTTCTATGCCTACAAAGATATATTTTTGAGAACTTTTTATTGTGCCGTTTCTATTATTTTGACCGCAGCTGTAACAGAGAAATTATTTTGGGCCCTGCCATTATTTGACAAAAGCTCAATTCATGGTCAACTCTCGTTTTTACATAATTGACATAGTTCCTTGACCGAGTTAAATGACAAATGGGTTCCTTATAAGTCAAGTTGCGTGTTTGGAGTGAAGCAATGGGCTATTATTAGCAAAGTAACCCACTAAATTCCTTCGCTAATCAGGCTTCATAAAACCAAAAATATTCTCTTATACGACACGTTGCAGCACTTCAAACCGCCCCGAATATACATATATTTATTGACTTCCTATCTTAAATGTTACCATGGCTGTGTATGTATTATTTTTAGTAGCTTATCGCAGCTAAGGTGTCTAAGATAAGGAAATGGGTGGCCATATTGCAGTGGATGTCCACTACTGCGGTTCGTGTTAAAGATCATGTATCAGACCATAATTTTAAAGAATTTTAGTTGCAGTCGGATGTGACACACCTTCAAGACCTATCTTATCGAACACTAACCCGGGAACGGCTATGACCTCATTACTTATTTACCCGTCACTTGTTTATTTGTACTTTCAGCTGGGCCTCTCGAAAATGTTCACGGATGAAGCCGAGTTCAACAATCTGCTGGAATCCCCGGAGGGCATCTTTGTGTCCCAGGTGCTGCACAAAGCCACCATCGAGGTCAACGAGGAGGGCACGGAGGCGGCGGCTGCCACTGGCATGATCATGATGACGCGCATGATGACATTCCCCCTGCAGTTCCAAGCGGACCGACCCTTCCTCTACGTCATCTGGAACAAGAAGAACATCCTCTTTGCAGGTGCCTTTGTAAAGGCAACCTAGAAGCACAACTCCTCTCACCCTTTTTTGTATTGTTTTTATCAATGAGTATTTTTAAATAAATAAGCGATCCATGTCAGCGATGGTTTTTTTCTGGCAGCAAATTATATTTCTAATTTATCCCTTTTGGCAACAATTTGAAAAGGAACACCTATTTAAATTGTTAGTAACAAACAAAAACTATTGACACGTTAATTTTAGCTCTTAAAATTCATTTTGAGGAGCCACTAATTTTTTATTACAATCTGTCATCTGCATTAATTTTATTTAAGCCTTTAGTAGTGTTCGTAAATATTACTTTATAGTTTTCTTTTATTTAATTATTTTTATAAAACATCATTTATTCGAACGTCTTAATGTTTCCTTTCATTTGCATAATTTATATTAATTTTATGTGTTTCATTTATTTTTTTGCGTACTTAATACTGTATTAGCTATTGTTAAAATGTTATAAATAATTTGTTCAAACCTTTATGTATAAAAATGGAACATCGTGTTTTTCATATCTTCTCTTTAAGCCCATGCTTGTTCTAGTAGGAATTGAGATTTTAAAATACGCGCCACCCAGGTAGCGCTGCCACCTTTTGCAAGTGTACAATCGATTACCCTTTTGCGCGCTATCGATAGGCAACAAAAAAAGGGCCTAAAACTGGCCAACTGCCAAGACGGGCGATTTGATTTGAGTCGGCGCAGAAGAGCGCGTAAATGAAAAACGAAGAGAACGCAGGAGAGTCGAACGGTAAATCGGTGGCAGCAAAATAAACTTTTAGAATCGCCAGCAAGAGCCGTCTTAAAACTCCGAGGAAAAAAAAAAGGCGGCGTCGCATTGGCGGCCTGACTGTTAAATCGAAGAACACGAATAACAACAATCGCAAGAGGATGAGCAGGAGAAGTGGAAACCAGGAGTCGAGCTTGAAATCGGAGAAGATGCAGCGCTACTACGCGGAACGGGAGACCACAGGACCCGAGTTCGGTGAGTTTTCTTTTCGGTACACAATGGATTTGGATTCCAACCGGGGCTCTCGAGTCGCAGAATCAACCCCCAAATCAGGATGTGTCTTCTGCGCTTAGGGGTTGTTCTATTCAGCTGCGAAGAACGTAGATTTTAACGATTTTTCCCACAAATCCTTGCCAAACAGACGATCGCCTGATAAAGCTGGTGCGCGCAAATCCGGCCATCTACGATGTCAGCCATCCGCACTATCGTCGCAATCCGGTCAGAGTGGATATATGGGATCGCATTGCCAACGAACTGGGCGCCTCCTGTGAGTATAATTTCACCATTTCCACGGCGTAGATTAAAACCACCCCTCTTTTCACCCCACTCAAACAGCTCGATTCCTGCAAACCAAGTGGAAAAACATACGCTACAACTATCTGCAGGAGGTGAAGGCAATTGAGACGGGCCAAACAAATCCGAATGTGCGCAAGCGACGCTTCACCGAGGATCTGTCCTTCCTGCAGAACACTGCCCAGACCTATAATGTGAAGAAATCCCAGAGCTTCGTGGCCCCGCAGAATGGAGGGGGCAGTGACAACGACAGCAACAGCTTCCTATATCCCGATCCGGAGCACCTAAAGATCGACGCCTCCGAGGGCTACGACATCATTGAACTGGACAACAGCGAGGATGGCGAGAACAGCGACGACAACGAGATTGTGCCGGAACTGCAGCTGGTCATGGCGGAGGAGGAGCCCAAGCTGGAACATCATTCCCTGCCGACGACACTCAATGGCATCCACAACAGTAGCAGCGATCACAGTCACGAACGCGACTCGCCGGCCTCCTCGCCGCTGCTCACGCCCATGGTGGTCATGGGCAATGGCTACGACCAGGACCAGGTCGTGCCAGCCCCCAATCCGAAGCAGGATCCGAAACAGCTCAAGAACAGCTCGCTGTCCAACGGCGAGGTGACCATCGAACCCATTTACAAGCCTGCGGCCACGAGACGCACATTACCCAGCGACTTTCTGAGCAATCCCTTCAAACGCAAGGCCGCCGAAGCGCCGCTCCTTCAGTCCCAGGTGACGACGACGCCCTACAGCGATCCCATCGAGCTGTACTGCCTGTCGCTGGTGGACACACTCCGCAGCATGCCCAGGTCGGAGCGGGAACGGGTCAAGTTCGAGTTCGCCAGCATTCTGAAGGACGCCAAGTACAAGGACGAGTCCTAAGCATTACGTACAATTCTCGATTAGTCAACTCCTAGTGGTAAACAACGCACTCAACACACACACTCATTTGTTTGCACTCCGTTTATGTATTATTACACTTACATATTTCTTTTAGTACCGCGTTCGCGTCTTAGGCTAAGTCTAATATAGTTTTGAATTAAGATGAGGCGATATGTGTCCATATCTATTCAGTTGTATCAACAAAGACCCGAAATAAATTATGCACAAAATAAGAAATCGATTTGTTTTACAACCAAACCACCCAAAGAAAAGATGACGAGATTTCATTTGCAGCTTAACGCAGCCTAAAACAATTTATTATCGATTAATAAAAGTAGTGTGTGTAAAACGTATACTCTCTAGCGTGCGATCTTACATCGTCAACGATCATTCCACACGATCGGTTAGTGGAAACTATAAATCTTCTACCTGAGCCGAGGCCCTCAAAATCCCCGGTTATAAAATACAATACAACTAAAAATATTAACTGATTCTTCGAGTCTTTCTACAACAAGAACTGGTTAGTCTATATATCATATATATAGTGCATAAGGCATATACAGCATCATTAATATGATTACGCGTTGATTATATTAATATGATAATATGAGTTAACTGAAAGGTTAGACAATGTAAGTGAAAAAAAGATTGTTTCCATTAAACACTAAAAACAAATGGTTCGCCAGATAAGCGTCTGAGCTGCCACTACTTAACATAAGTTACAACTCGTGACGTGGCGTATTCAAAACCGAGTTCTGCGCCTGCAGCTGGCGTCGGCTGGCCTCCTGATCCTTGTTGCCATCGTCGGTGTCCAGAATGTCGGACAGATCGTACATAGGCTGATAGGAAATCAGTTCGGAGCCACTGGGTGCTGCTAAAATCGGATGCGTTAATATCGAAAGGAGGTTAAAGAGCCATTTCCGAACCCACCTTTCTTCTCACTGCTCATGCTGTCATTGGGAAATGAGAGGCCATAGTTGTCCAGCAGATCAGAGTCGTTGAAGAGCTGTAGAGAATAAAAGAAAACCAATATTAGTTAACTTAAATAAAAATAATGCACATTTAGGCCTAGCAAGTGTGGACGCTTTGCGCTGACCTTTAGCAACAGCTCGTCCTCGGTCAACTGAAAAATGGGCGTCCTGCCAGGCGCCTGATCATGTAAATAGAACGTATGTGAAATGAGCCTTTGGTCGGGCGACAGACGGACAGCTAATCTTTAGTTGTACCAACTAGGAATAGAGATACTTACACCCATGAGCATGTTTTGGTCAATGGCGACCCCGTCGCCACGCAGCAGATCCTTCAGCGTTTCCAGCTCATCCTGCATGTTGTCCAAGTGTCCGTGGAGATCGTCACTGCAACAGTAAGAAATAGCCTCTTGATTATGGCTGCTCGGGTTTGGATTCGCCGGCATCTTGTCTACTAACACAGAGGGAATCCTCAGAAGTTGGCCATGGCCATTGTTCGGATTTTGTGTGGCACCGTTCTCGCTGCCCGTGTACTTGGCCACAGCCATGGCCTCCTCCTCGTTGGCTTGCGCCTTGGCTGCGGCCGCCTTCGATGTAGACGCCTGATTGGCATCCATCAGAGAGCTGTTTGTGGGCACATCGAAGTTGCTGGCAAACTTGCCGCTGCTCACAGTCGTTTGACCGAATTTCTGCTGCTGATCCAGCTTGGCTGCCTCTTCCACGTCAGCAGGAAGCAGAGAAGAGTCCTGAAAGGTTATGAATATTAATACAAATTAAACTGTAGAAATTAAAGCTTACTTACTTCGAAAATATCCGTCGGCATATCTTCACTGATGAAATTAACATTGTACAGATCAGAGTTCGTTGGTTGCATTAGTTCCATCAGTCCGGAATTATTCTCTGGCTCTGATTTGATCATCATGGGCTGGAACACAGTGCGCTGTGCCTTGGGCGTTACCTCGTCCACCTCAATTATGTCCTCTGCAGCCCGTCGCCGCAGTTTGTTATGCTCCTTAAGCTGTTGGCGCTTCTGCTCCTGCTCCCGCACCATGGGCGTGGTGAGCACGTTCAGCTCGTCATGCTGCAGCGGACTATTGGGCACTGTTTCCGAGACATGAGAATCGGGTGCCTCGGTGACCGTGTAGACAGCTTGCTGGGCCGGCGATTGACTCACGCTGGAGGCGAGTGGAGAGGCGGCACCGCCGACCAAGAGATTGCCGCCAGATCCGTTGCCCTGGAGCAGCAAGTCCTCGACACTCTGATTCGAATAGTCGACGTTGTGCGAACTAATGCTTATATTCGACCGCGGACGCTCGACGGCCAGCGGTGAGACGCTCTCCTGGTCGTAATGCGATGTGGGATTCATCACCTCGTCGAGGAGCTCCTCGCTCAGCTCGTGGATGACTGGGCCACCGCCGCCCTCGCTTTCCGTTTCGCTGGTGCTGCGTGCACGATCGTTCTCCGGCGTATCGTTGATCATCAGCTGCATGTGACGCTTGACGCCGGACATGTTGCGCGACGGTTGTACAATGGAGATTAGGAACTGGATCAGTTTGTTGACTATCTGCTGCTGCTTGGCGTGCTTCTGGCGCAGGCTGGCGATCTCGCGCCACAGCACCTCGTTCTCCTGCTTCATGGCCGAGAAGCGAGAGTCCAGGGTGTCCTGGCGACCACGCATCACCTTCACATCGCTGAGGATCTTGGACACGGCCTCCTGCTTCAGCACACTCTTGTCGTCCCCGTTCTTGTTGTTCGATATCTTCCTTTTAATTTGGTCCAGCAGATAGGGGGAGTTGCGCTTGAAGAAGGGATGTGAGAACTCAATCTCATCGCGATCGAATCGAAGGCCGCCGTTGTCAATGGAGGTGATCTTGTGAAAACCATCTGTTGAACAAATTTTCTTTAGCTTGTGCTTCCAATTGTAATTTTAATTCACTTTACTTACACATATTCAATTGCCTGATAAAGCTGGCCATGTTGTTGTGCTTGTAGTTGAGGGGCAGCAATTCCTTGGCAAATTGCGCCTGATTTTGTATGACAAAACTGTGACCATCCTGCAAAAATTAAAAAACGGAAGCGATATGAGAGTCATGGTGATATGTGCTTGCCACAAACATATTCGCGGCAGGCCGCAAACTAAACGCGATAAGAGTTTGCTTATATGTTTGCAGTAACAAATATAATTATCTAATTATATCTATGAATGCAAAAAGCAAGAATACAGCTGTGTTCAATATAAAAGTAATTTACTTTAAAAACTATATTCCTGTATTATTATATAAAACTTAACTACTTAGTACTTTTAAGAACACCAATAAGGAAGATCCGAATAAATTATATTGTTTAAATTGTTGGAGGAAATAAAATATGCAAGTTTTTCAAATGGATTCCTAAATATTTGTTTTTGCGAATAGGTACTATTATTTAACCCACATCTGTATGTTTTTGATTGTAAAAGGTATTTGAAGGCTCCTCTTATCGGTACACTCTTCAGTAAGAGAACCAATTACTCTTATCTTAAATGGAAAACCAAATGACTAAGGGAAATTTTTTGATTGACTGATGGAGATGGAAAATTTTCCAGAGTTCACGCACGTACGCATGCAAATGGCATAAGCGACAACAACAACAAAGAGACTTGCATACGTGCGTAGCGGCACAGCAACAACAAGGCAGAGAGCAAAAAAGCGAGAGAGAGCTTGAGACACCTGCAAGCAACGTCATTGTTGCCATGCTGATTAGCGGTAAATAGTGGGAGGCCCTGGAAAGGTAAATAAACAACATGGCGGCGCAACTTTACCTTGGTCCAGCAGATCAGGCGATTGGTATCCGCGTCGTCCACCAGGCGCCAGAGTTTGGCCAAAAATGCGGGCACCCCGCTGCCAATGGCGCCTCCGTCTCCAAACGAATGCATGCTCCTGGGCGGCAGTTGCTCCTCCTCGTCGTCTTCCTCCTCCTCCGATTCGTGCTTAAACTGCACGGCTTTGGCGGATGAGCGCGGCCTGGACATATAGTGACCAGCAGCCTGGAAAGGAATGGAATAAAGTACTCAATGAATTTACGCTGGAAGGGAGTAAACACACACGCTCTTGTTCCAGTTCACAGTTCACTTTTCCACGCGTGTGTGTGTGCGTGCGGGAACATTTGTGTTCAGCTGTGTGAGTGTACAGGTACAATATTTGTACACATGGGTACTATTCGATGTGAAAGTTGCAGCTCAAATGGAATCGTATATTTTTAATTACGGCCAAGTGCGTCATTCGAACCAGCAACTTGCACAAACGGAGCTCTAATTCTTCTTCTCTTGCTCAGCCTACCTACCTTAACAACTGTGCAGCTCGCTCGCCTTTCGCCGAGTAAAATACTCTTTTTTACACGTTCACTTAGCTTTTGCACTTCACTTTCAATATGCACCGCTTTATTTTGCTTAGTTCTTCTGTTTTTAATCGGTTTTTACGCGTTTTATGCACAAGTGAAAATTTAATGAAGTCTTCGTAAAATTGCTTTTGCTCGCAAAGTGACCAGTTTCGAAAAAACCCATCGAACTAAAGTTCGCTGCTATTTATACCATCTCGACTGTCTGCTCGTCTCCTCTGGTATTTTTCTAGTATTTTCTGGCGCTCAACTTCATTATTCAAATCCTGATCCGATTCTTGAAATAATCATAAGCAATTCATTTAAAGATTTAATGGATTATTATTATTGGTTAGTTATTATTATGATTGGTTAGTGCCAAAAAAATAAACAGTATTTCGAGGCGGAAGGGCATTACTTTTCAGTATTTTCGTTTTAACGGCATAATAATGGATATGCATTAGTTTTTATAATTTGTTGAAATTGATTCCAATCACCTAAAACAAATATATATGTTTAACAATTATTTAATTTTACTAGTACTTTGATATTTTTTTATTTACGTTCAGCTTTAATTTGTCAAAACTATAAGAAAGGTATATAAAATTACAGGTATTAAAAATTACAGGTATTAAACATTTTTGTAGAAAAATACCAAACTTACTGGTATTTTGATATTTTCCAGAGCCCTTCAGTATTTTCCAGCACTAGACTGCCGGGCGTTTGCCAACACAGTGGGCATATGTTGAAAAATGGCTGACATAAATTAATTTTCAAGTGATTTGTTTTGTGCATTTTCGCTGGTGTTAAGGATGAACTCTATGCAAGGACACTTAAAGCCGACAGCCAAATAAATTAGAGCACAATGCTAATTTAATGCACGGATCGAAGCACACAGAAAGGTGGGTAAATCGGGCCCGAAAAATCGAGTGGAAAGCGTGTGGAAAAAGAACGAATGTGGAAAGACACATACAAAATACAAAAGGGCCCGCTCTCAAGTCCGTACGTGTAGCCATGCGTGTGCATGTGTGTGTCGGCGGGGCAACAACAAATTCGACGAAAAAGGCGCCAGATTAATGAGCTCGTGTTAATCAGGCGAATAAATCGAGAAATCTAATGAAACCGAAACAACCAAAAGCCGGCAAATTGATCTAAAGGTCCTTCTCTTTCAGAAAAGACTGCGCACAAGAAGAATCACAGCCCATCGAGCACCCACCACCACATACACAGCCGCAATGATGAACAACCATTATCACTTGCAACACGATCACCCGCCGCAAAACGTGGCACATCCGTACTTGCAGCAGCCGAATGTTGCTGGAGTAGGTCCTCCTCCTCCGCCGACCACCACCTATGGCTACTTACCCCAGTCGGCTGGGCAGCAACCGCAGTGGATGACCACCACATACCAGATCCTGCCTCCCACTGCAGGACCCGCCACGGGGGCCAAGCGCTACTACGCCACAACCACTGGAGGAGCACCGACCACACATCCCACCCATCCCAGCACAATTCAGATAACCAACAGCTTCGCCCAACAGGCCACGCCAACGAAGCAACAGGCGGCCAGCAGCTCCAGTCCCTTTAAGGCCAACAACATACGCATCATCTCGACAGCGCCGAATGTCTACAGTCTGAACAAGTCGCCGCAGGATCCACACTCCATCTATGCACCGGTTCAGTCGTATTATTTGCCCAGTGGAGGAGGCCCAGCGGCGGGACAACTCAGTCTGATGACTGCCAGTGGAACAGCCAAGCAATTGCAGCCGCCACCCCTGGTGCCCGTGAGCAACTCGTCCTCGCCGCCCTCCACCGTGGTACTGGATCGCATCAACATTTGCATCAACAACCACTACGCGGAGTCACCCGCCTCCTTGAGTTCATCATCATCACTGAGCACGGCCCAGCAGCCGTCACCCATCATACCGGCAATCCAGCACAAGGCCATTCTGCCCCTCATCGACAGCAGCACGGTCGACAGCAGCAGCTGCAGCAGCAGTTCGGTGTCCAGCAGCAGCTATGGTGGTGCCACCACCACCTCGGCGGCCTTGGTGATTGTGGATGAACCGGATTCCACGACCACAACGCCGCAGACGCCGCCAACTACGCCGGAGACGATGAGTTCGCCTGACAAGTCATCGCCCTCGCCCCCGTTGCTGGCCACGCAGTCGCTGCTCAAGGCCGTCAGCCAAATGAAGCCGAGCTTCAAGGCCGTCGATGCAGCACCGCCCACGCCGCCAACTCCTCCTTCACCTCCTCCGCTGCCGCCAACACCAGTCGTTGCTGCTCCGCCAGCGGTCACGTATGCCCTGCAGGAGGACGTCTTTATCAAGTGCAACGATGGGAGGTTCTACTTGGGCACCATTATTGAGCAGACGAGCGACCAGTTTCTCATCCGCTTCGATGATCAGTCTGAGCAATGGTGCGAGCCGGACAAGCTGCGCAAGCTTGGCGGCGGCAGTTCGACGAGCGGTGGCGGGGGAGGCGGCTCCAGTTCGGACACCCCGAGTACCTCCACCACTGGACCCATGTGCGTGGCCTGCAAGCGATCGGACATTGAGGATGTGGTGGAGATTTGCGAGCGCTGCGGACGCGGCTATCATCGTGGATGCACCACAGAAATCAGCAGCGGAATTTGGAGCTGCAAGCGCTGCGCGAAGCCTATGAAAATGCAACAGCCGCTGAATCATGAGATCACAAAACCGTCGGGGATTTGCCGTCAGTTACCCTACCATGTGAGTATGCTTGATGCTTAAGCCAGAAGATTTAGTTTTCTAATCCGGTTTCTCCCGCAGGCGGATAAGCTCAGCTGGGATGAGAAGCATCGGGTCAACGAGGAGCAGATATACTGCTACTGCGGCAAGCCGGGAAAATTCGATCAGGACATGCTGCAGTGCTGCAAGTGTCGCAACTGGTTCCACACCCAATGTATGCAGAACTTCAAGAGGAAGCTGCTGCGCGGCGACATGTAAGGATTGACTCGGGCTCATTATTTCTCTATATATAACTTCAAAACGTTGTTTCAGGTTCTTTGTGTTCTGCTGCACGGTGTGCAACGACGGCGTGGAGTTCGTTCGGCGTTTGCAAATCGAATGGGTGGACGTGCTTCACCTTGCACTGTACAATCTGCGCAAGCACCAACACCAGAAGTACTACCACCTGCTGAAGGACATCTGGCCATTCATACTGGAAAAGCGCCACCAACTGCCTATCTGCGATAAATGGCGCGCACTGCCGGAAACGGCACTGATGGAACTCATCAAGCTCACTCTGAAGGACTACTCGAAGAGATTCGTCTGCGGCAAGGAGTACAAACGAGCACCGGTCTTCTATGCGCTACGCCACAGTGGGCCGCCAATCACTCCCAAGGTGTTTCTGCTGCCCCACGAGGAGCTCTCCGATGATGTGCTGGTTAAAAAGTTCAAGCTGCGGCTTATGCCCGTGGAGGCGGGGGAAATTGAAGAGGAACCCTTGAAGGGGGCTCCCAAAGATGTGTACGAGTTCAACACGGACGAGGATGAGCCAGTCGAGACGAGTGAAGACGAGATCCCCATCAAGCAAATCATCGAGAAGGCCAAAAAGCAGACCGGCCAGAAGGTCGATGATGGTGTTGATGAGTTGCCACTGAAGCAGAAGCAGCCGGAACCCGTCGAGGCGGGCGCTCTCGACCTCGCCGATGACAATGCCAACGATGGCGATCACGGCAAACTGCCAGCACCCATTCCACCGCTCTTGGAGGCCAACAGCAGCCGAAAACGCAAGGCTTTCCGTTTGTCCAAGCGCTACGACAACAGCCGCAACCACTGTGATTTATCGTCCGACGAGAACTCAAGCAGCAGTCGGGGCACCAGTTCGCTGGACCTCATCATACCCCCCGCCGGCCAATTTTCTGGGACGCAACAATCCCTTTCTAATGGCCACGCCCAAAAAGGCGACGCAGGGAAGAGCTGGAATCGGTGTGGGAGCTGGAGTCGGCGTGAATGGCATCATCAACAGCATTTTCAAGCTTAAGGGCAACTCCAAGGAGCAGCCGCGCATGGTGCGCACCATCAAGCGAAGACTGAGTGCCAAAGACATAACCATAGGGCCCAATCAGGAGGTGCGCAGGCGCCGCACCCGCCGCCTGACCACGGCCATTGAGGTAGAATCTGACACTATCCTATCACTATTTGTACTACATGTTCGTTTCTTTCCACCAAACAGGTCATCAGCACCACTACGATCAATCCCATACCCAGCCACTACCTTCCTCTCTACGCCAAAGATCTGCAACCGCCGGCAACGCCAATGGGAAAGCCAACACACGGGCGAATGTTGCGCCAGCGACCACAGAAGCTGTCGCCCAGCCAAAGCCGCCGGAACTCTACCAGCTCGACGGCAACCACTGGGAGCAGCAACGGGATTACAACTCCGGGACATTCCATGCTGGATCTGAAGCAGTCGGTGAACAAGTATTTTGGCGGCGCCATGAATCGCATAGATGCCGGCGAATCGTTTGCCATACGGGCCAAGCGGCGCATGGGGAACGGACAGGTCCAATACCTGGTGGAGTGGGGAGGAGATGCTGCGATCGGATCGATGGGAAATTAGACACTTTGGGATCAACCGACTCATGTTTACTTATATATTTATCATTTCCTTTCATTTCATTATCATTTTTCTGCGTTATTTTATTATTATCGCTGCCAACTCCGGGCCTCTTTATTTGTTAACGTTTAAAAGTTTATTACCAATCCACTGCCAAAATAGCAAAAGAATGTTCAAAATATTGGTTCAGCATTAAAGCGGTTTAATGTTAAAATGTAAAAAAAAAAAAAAATGCAAAAAGCAACTGAATACAGGTTATAATTGTGCAATGGCAGTTAATTGTTGCAGCAAAACTTAAGAAAATTTCCACAAAATTGGTAAAAGTATTACAAGATTTATTTAGAAGCCTATGTAATATTCGCTGCTGAATGAAAACGTATTAAATAATGTCGATTAAAGGAAAACGATTCAGTTAAGTTCAGTTACGTACTTTAGCTATATGCCCATGTATATTTTTGAAAAATATATGTTGAAAGGGAAACTCTCACACAAATCCATGTTATGCATACAAAAAATACTTGATATACACACAAATTTAATGAAATTTAGGACTAGTTTAATCATTTTCGCCCATAGACTAGGGAAACTACACAATAATGAATTAAGCAAGTAAATTTTATGTTTAACTATTAAAAAGCTACACAAAATCAAAATTGAGTTGAACGCAAACAAAATCTCAAGCTGACGTAAATGTTTGGCTAAACCAGAGCGGAATACGATGTGTTTAATTTAATGAAGTATATAATGCCCAAATAAATGTTTCGAAAAACGCACGTTTCTGAGATTTTAGTCTGTCAACCTCAGTAGGCGGCCAAAGTGACATTTGGATTTAAAGCTTGTCATGCCCTAACTTTTGGCACGCCGCTTCATTAGGTACTCGAATGCCCAAAGGGCATGCCGTCCGAAACATAAAAAATTAGGAAAATTGTTTTATTGCCATAAAACAAAAAAAAAATATATAATTCACTACACTCGGTCATTGACGGTTTTGTTTAAGTGTTGTTTATTTAATAGAAAACCTGGAAGGGCCTCAAAAATAGACAATTAGGTGTTAGTGCCGGCTAAAACTAAAAAAAGAAAATACTTCATCTTCTCGGAGTGCCAAATTGCAACGAAGGACATTTTGGTTGATTTAGGTAAGTTATAAAAAGGTGAATCCCACGGTTTGTGTGATAAAAGAGTTTGGGAAATTCTACAGTTTTGCGTTTTTATTAAAGAAATTTTATTTTTTTTTAAGTCAAGCGTTAGCGTTACCAACATACTAAATTATTTTTTTTAACATAAATTGCTTAAGATAAATATATTCAAAACAAGAAATTCCGAAAAAAAATTCTACAGTTGCGTTTTTATTAAAGAAATTTACATTTTTTTTTTTAAGTCAAGCGTTAGGGTTACCAACATACTAAATTATTTTTTTTAACATAAATTGCTTAAAATAAATATATTCAAACCAAGAAATTTCGAAAATATAATATAATTGTAGAAGTTCAAGTTGTTATAGGAAACAATTTTAATTGGGGTGTTTTGTACTAAAATATTTTGTTTTTTGCGTTAATTGGTCATCTTGAATAGATTTTTAAACTTTGCTCTGTTCGATTTTTTTTAGTAGATTAGTATCGATTTTTTCGATACACTTTTGATAATTTGGCAACAAGCCTAGATGACGATATTTTCAGGGCTATCGCCAACGCCTCTCCTCTCTATGAGTCGTGTAGAGTCCGTTTTCGTGAGCGGTCGTGGATTCGCTTTCAGCACACGGCTTATCACATATTTTTTGTGAAGAAAAAATATATAAAAAATACAAAAAAATATTAAAAACACAAAAACGTAACAAAAAAAATTGTAAAAAGTAGCAAAATATTCGAGCAAGTGTTTGAAAAGTAAGTAGAGTGCAGGGGACTGGAAGTGGTGCAGGAGAGAGCAAGAGGGCGCGACGCGAGACAAAGCGATTGGGGAATTTTGCCAGCGCATTTGTCGCGTTTGCAGTCGCCCTTTTGGCCAAGATGGCGACTGGAAACGTGAACTTTTTCGCATTATCCGCATTAGTCGAGAAAATTAAAGAAATCGCATAATTTTGAGCAGGCAGAACGCGTGTCTACTTTGTGTCTGTGTGTATGTGTGGAAATTTTCCAACACGAGCGTATGGGTGAGAGAAGGAAAAGAGAGGAGGAGCAGCAACAACAAAGCACATGCAGCGTTGCCATGTCGACCGACTGTCACACGCGCCAGAGCTGCCACCCAGACACACAGACAGAGAGACGAATAGAAGACCAAAAGCCACGCCGCTTTTTTTTTTCTTTCTATTTCACCGCCTGCCTGGCCGAATCCAACCGGTCCGTAAAGATTAAGAAAAAATGGCAATTTTCTCCGTGAAAAACCCAAAATTAATTCTCCAAAATTACAGGTAGACCTGATCACCAAATATGGCTTCTCTATACGTCGGTGATCTCCAACAGGATGTCACCGAAGCGGGACTTTTTGAGAAGTTCTCGACTGCTGGTCCAGTGCTGTCCATTCGTGTCTGCCGCGATGTGGTTACCCGTCGCTCGTTGGGCTATGCCTACGTCAACTTCCAGCAGCCAGCCGATGGTGAGTAATCCTCGAAAAAACAGTGTAATATAATAGTCTTACTGCCTACTGGAAAAGTTTGCCCCTCCCGCGCGAAACAAAGAAAACACGTGTGCAGTTTTTGCACTCACACAGGCACACAACCACATGCCGATGTACAGTGGCTAGTGGACTCGATGAAAAGATGACTCTTATAAGAGGACCAGATAAACGGCTTCCAAGTATTTCATAACTCGCTCCACCGTGCTTTGCTTACGTTAATCTCCCCGCACACACACACTCGCACAACCTCTCGCGTGTGCATACATATGTATATAAATTCCAGTTCTGTTGACTGGAAACGGGAAATGCGGGGAAAGGAGGGAAAAACAGCTGGCTTGTGCCACTCAATCGTTCGCCTAGAAATTTCCGCCTCGATTTCGCTCAAAATTGCAATTATGATGGAATAATATGGTTCCATACTGCTCAGACAGCTTATCGCAACCCCGCCCATTAGTTGCTGCGTCTTCATTGTTTTATTTATGTGTTTTTTTTTGTGTTGTTTCCAAGCGGCGAACTTGCGCACACGCACACTTATAACACCATTGCTCACGCATTTGTCTGTGTCTCTTCCACAAACATGTGTTCATTGTTGTTTGGGCCATTTCTTTTTCGGCCTTCATCTATTTTAGGTTAGATTCCATTAACTAAACTTCCTACCTTTGTTTTGCTTTCACTTTCACAAGTCCCTGCTCTTCATTTCCATTCCATTCATTAACACTTCCAAATTCTTGACATGTCAGTGAACTGCTCCTCGGCCTCTCTTTTTTCGCCCATTAAGTCTTGTTTTTACAAAAAACGAAAACAAACTTTCACTGCGCATAGTTGCTGTCGCTGCTGCTTCTTCGTTTCCCGTTGTTCGCTTACATTTGTTTATTGAATTAAGCGTACAATGGCATAAAAACTGGTGACTGATGATTACACTGCGTGTGAAAGCCCGTCGCATTCCAGCATTCCGCCAAGTTTACTGAACTTTAGCTTTTGAGGTTAGGTTGCCAGCCTTTTAGACACTGCTATACAAATCGTATTTATTGTTAACACCCTACCTATTTCGCAACTCCTACCCATTGGTTGGTCAAATTTACCACTTTTTGATACGACTAAGATTCAATGTTGCCAGAATAAGCTATGAAACTTACCATGCTGATCGATTTCACATATCATCCGCAGAAGTAGAATCTTTGCAAGCCATTATTCGATACTGTATTATCACATATAATATAAAGCTAATAAGCAACTTCTACCCATTGGTTGGTCAAATTTATCCTTTTTGACACGACTAAGATTCATAGTTGCTATAAAAACATATGTAACTTACCATGCTGTTGGGTAACGTATACCATCTGCAGAAGTAGAAGCATGACAATTACTAAAGAACCCACAAAGGTATAAGCTAATTAGGTCGTTAGCACTCAGATATATCACTTTTTAGCAACTCCTACCCATTGGTTGGTCAAAAAAAAAACCTTTTTGGCACGACTAAGATTCATTGTTGCTAGATAAACCAAAGCAACTTACCATGCCTTTGAGTTCTTCATACCATCCGCAAAAGTAGAAGCTTGACAGCCATTTATACAGACAGTCACCAACAATTTAGCAACTTCTACCCATTGGTTGGTCAAATTTATCCTTTTTGACACGACTAAGATTCATAGTTGCTATAAAAACATATGTAACTTACCATGCTGTTGGGTAACGTATACCATCAGCAGAAGTAGGAGCATGACAATAACTACATCTTTAATCTTTAATGGCAGAAACTACTATTACCTATTGATGTGATTTAATTACAACTCCCTCGAAGAAGCTAGTTAGGTCAGATATAACATATTTTAGCAACTCCTACCCATTGGTTGGTCAAAAAAAAACCTTTTTGGCACGACTAAGATTCATTGTTGCTAGATAAACCAAAGCAACTTACCATGCCTTTGAGTTCTTCATACCATCCGCAAAAGTAGAAGCTTGACAGCCATTTATACAGAGAGTCACCAACAATTTAGCAACTTCTACCCATTGGTTGGTCAAATTAACCCATTTTTGACACGACTAAGATTCATAGTTGCCAAATAAAAGACCAGACTCGACTTACCATGCACTAGGCTGCTTTCAGCTCATGGCCAGTGCAGAAGTTGAAGAGTCACAATGAACCCAAGCAAAGCAGCACCGTGTTATATATATCAACGTTTCAAACTGAAAGCGAACCAATAGTGATCGGAACCCTACCCTTCTTTCATTCGCAGCTGAGCGTGCTCTGGACACCATGAACTTCGACCTGGTCCGCAACAAGCCCATTCGCATTATGTGGTCTCAGCGCGACCCCTCACTGCGTCGCTCCGGCGTTGGCAACGTGTTCATCAAGAACCTGGACAAGGCCATTGACAACAAGGCTATCTACGACACTTTCTCCGCCTTCGGCAACATCCTAAGTTGCAAGGTCGCAACCGATGAGAAGGGCAACTCAAAGGGCTACGGTTTCGTTCACTTCGAGACTGAGGAGGCCGCCAACACGTCCATCGATAAGGTCAATGGCATGTTGCTCAACGGCAAGAAGGTCTACGTGGGCAAGTTCATTCCGCGCAAGGAGCGCGAGAAGGAGCTGGGCGAGAAGGCCAAGCTGTTCACAAACGTGTACGTGAAGAACTTCACCGAGGAGTTCGACGATGAGAAGCTGAAGGAGTTCTTCGAGCCCTACGGCAAGATCACCAGCTACAAGGTAAGCAGCGATATGACTTTGGTTAACTTGTGGGCACTGCTTATTTAATCTCCGAATTTAAGGTCATGTCCAAGGAGGATGGCAAGAGCAAGGGCTTCGGATTCGTGGCCTTTGAGACCACAGAGGCTGCTGAGGCGGCCGTCCAGGCCCTCAATGGCAAGGACATGGGCGAGGGCAAGTCACTGTATGTGGCTCGTGCCCAGAAGAAGGCCGAGCGCCAGCAGGAGCTGAAGCGCAAGTTCGAGGAGCTCAAGAAGAAGCGCCACGAGTCTGTCTTTGGCGTCAATCTGTACGTGAAGAACTTGGACGACACAATCAATGATGACCGCCTGCGGAAGGAGTTCTCTCTGTACGGCACCATCACATCAGCCAAGGTGATGACCGATGAGGAAGGTCGCTCCAAGGGTTTCGGGTTCGTGTGCTTCATTTCGCCCAACGAGGCCACCTGCGCCG